CCCCAAAACCCCAAAACCCCAAAACCCCAAAACCCCAAAACCCCGAGCCAAATATTTTTATTTAAAACTTTAGAACAAGAGGGCTAGTTCATATTGTACCCATTTAGTAATTGCTTCGGGTCGAAGAACTTGGCCTGAAAATTGGTTGCTCTTGAAGCCCCACCATGCTTACTGCTTCTTGGTCTACTATGAGACCTTTTACTACTACTATGCTTTCTTCTTTTAGGAGATCCTGGTTTTTGATGTGGAGTTTTACCTCTTCCGGTTGAAGTTAGATTATAAGCATGCTGATGGTTGTAATTTCCATTTTTCCTGAACAGCTCTCTTCCAAGTTTGCTATCATTCAAAAATCCATTAGTACTTCCAGGAGTAGGAGTGTGAACTGTCAGTCCTGAGTACATTCGTGCTGCTCTATCTCTTGCTTTACTAGAATTTCCCACTACGCTTTCAATAAGGGAGGATTTCTTTGACCCCATTCCTTGTCGTGATTTAGTTCCTTTTCGTGGCTATCGATTAAAGTATATACTCACTCTAAAGTCGTTCATCATATTGGTAAAACTATTTGTATTGGTAAAGTCATAATCCATGGATATTTTCTTCTTCTTCGACTTTGGAGATACTCTACCTACATAGGTAGAATATGCTGCTCTCTCATTAGAATTAGCAGCAGATCCTTTCCTACTGACTCTGGTGCTACCTGCTTTTCTGTTGAACAAATTTTGGTATTTAACCATTCTTTTTGGGGTATTATTGGGCCTAGTTTTTCTACTCCTTGATCTCTTACTGCTCTTGTTTAAGGAATCATGATTTGAATAATGCTTACGATGTTTACTCTTAGAAGGCTTCCAGCTCTTCTTCATCATACTCAGAAGTATATGATTAGGGTCATTCCTTCCTCTGGAGGGACTCTTCCTCTGTTTACTATGGTATGACTTCTGCTTGGCGCTATGACCTCTAGATTTACTCATTTTAGATGACCTTTTCGATTTCTCCATGTAGTTCCTTCCTCCAGGGTTGTAAGAAGAAAGAGTCTCAGACAGAAGTTTTTGAGTTCCATGATTCATGTTTAATCCCATTTTGCTAAATTGGTTCATCATTGTGAAACTTTTAAACTGCTCAGCAACATTTTTGTTCCCTGGAGCCCAGGTCTGGGTCATCAATTTTTGAGGTTTGTTCGTTCTATTATCTGCAGTCCTGGATTCATCATGAGCATTCACCTTCATCATTTCATTCCTTTCGTCCTGAGTGTAGATAGGGACAACTTTGTAGGGATCTTTGTGTTGTTTTGGGGATGGTTGATACCTTCCTCCCTTGCTTGGGGTTTGGCTATTCGAACGAGTGTCAGAATCGCCAATGTTTAATAGTCTATTCGCCTCAGAAAAGTTCACTGTATTGTTGCTAATGAATTGAGCTAAGACTGGTCTCACATCTTCAACTTTTGAAATTTTTTCTAAAATTGCTCACAATTGATAAAGCTCGGGATCACTTAGGTCATCATACCAAGAAACAGTCGGAATTGCTCAGTCAGGATGGAATAAATAGGAAGTTGGACTATTATCAATAATCATACTATCTTTAAGAGGTCTGCCTATCCTAGAGAGATCTTTAACAAAAATTCCATTATAGTAAGTGCAATGTTCTCGGAAGAGCCTATATGCTCAATAGTTTTTCGGATCTAGCCAATCTAGCAAGGGATCTGCATATTTTGACAAGGATGCTGTATAAATGATCAGCTCATAATGCTTGTGAAGTCTTTTCAAGAATTCATCCACACCTGGTCTCTTTAGTACATAGACTTCTCAGACATTGTCATCAATTTCAACTGGAAGGACAAGATCAGCTCCTTCTACGTATTGGAAACTGGAATGGACCAATGTTTCATCAAGATCTAGGCACAGAGTTTTCTTTCCTCTGTCAGATTCTCTTTGTGGACCAACAACTATTTCATCCTGCACAAAGAAATCATCATCAATATCATCTTGCTGTTGGTAATTTGGTTGAGAAGATCCTTTATCAACTTGGGTTATTAAGCTTGATATTTTGTTATTCGCTGATCTACCTTGCTTTACTCAGGCAGCTTCATTGTCAGGCTCAAGATCTTCAGTATTCTCTTGAAGAAGTTCATCATGCTCATTCTCATCGTAATAATCTTCCTCATTGTAGTACTGATTTTGAATTTGTTTTAACTTTTTAGTATCCATCCTAGGCAACTTTGGAACAATTAACATGAAGATCAGAAAGAATGTGCACCAAAATATGTTAAATTTTACTGGAAATTAAATAAAAACACTCTAAATTGATCTTTAGAAGATCTTTCAAGCTTGTTATCGACTATTCAAATACTTCCAGAAGCCATTTTAGGCAGCTTGAAATACCATTTTTTAGATATAAAGATACCTAATTGTGAGAGTAATGCTGAGAATTAGTTTACCGCCTATTTACATCCCATTTAGAGGCAAAATAGATTGAAGTTCTAGTAGAGTTAGATAAATGAAGACTGAAAAGACCCTGAATAGTTAATAAATCGTGTGAATTACCTTCCTCTTTATTATATGAAATTAATTCAATTTGAATTTTATTGTTAGGGGTTTTGGGGTTTTGGGGTTTTGGGGTTTTGGGG